ATTTCCATCTACATATGGAGGGTAATACTTTTGGGATCAAGGATAGGTTGAACATCTGTTTTTCTGAAACAGAAATGGCTTAGGGAGCAATCCACGGTTCCTTATGCCCTCCCAGAGCAGGCCTGACAGTGCGAAACCCTCCAAAGGGCAGTTACGCCCATATAGCGCTCTTTGATTCCAAGTGTCGTTGAATGTGGTCTCCCTAATTTTCTGTGTGGTAGCTGCCATTCTGTTATATAGTGTGCAATTTCAAATACAAGAAAACTGGAGTTAGCACAAACCAGACTTATGTTTGTTTTTTAAAGCAAATCTAATTACTCTGTCTTACTGGAATTGTTTTTTGTTCAAAGGACTGGATTGAGATGTAGAAAACAAGTTGCAGGCAGATGCTAATCATTTTGCATATAAATGACTATGATTTCTTTTATAAATATTTCGTGCGAGTTTTTAGTTTAACAATTAAAAAAAAATCTGTTTTTTTAAATATTTTTGGTAATATCTACAGACCCTTAACAAAATACCTCAGGATCTGTATCTATTTATTTACTTTCTGTCCAAAAATAAATTTGTTAAAAGTATATATTTCATATCAAGATAAAAACAGACGATTTTCTTTTTTTCTCTAAATCACAAGCATAATCTTTAATGAGGAGGACTGGTGGATTTTCTGAGTGAGCTGAGTTCACAGAGGTGCTGACAAGGAATTGAGTCTGATGGAGTTTTTACAGAAGATAGAGTCACAATTTATTACTTTGTTTAAAGGCTTTAAAAAGGTTATTGACTGGAAGATGAAGCTATCCGTCCTCTCACTGTCTTGTATGTAGTCATGTTATTTCCACCAAGTAGAGAGTAGGGAAATTAAGTGAGTGGGGTTTATTATAAGCCTGTTTTGAGAGGTCCCTGCACCAAGTCAAAGCGGGTACTGCCTGTCTTACCATTAGCTCTGGAGGAGGATGTCTTGCCAGAAGCTTAGTGGAGGGGATAGCCTGAGGTTTTACTATATTTTGCTGCTTTTAACCCATTCCGTACCTTGGGATGAAGAGAAAACATTGGACTCTAAGTCTGCCCATCTAGCACATTTCATCAACACTAAATTCATCTTAAAAGAAAAAAAAAATCCTGCATGCCTCAGAGGTCTAGCCAACAGTTCAGTATTTTCCAAAAATACCTTCAGTTACCTGAGTTTCCAGCCTGTGAAGCATTTATTATTAAGGAACTACCTTGTTAGTGTGAAGCCTGTTAAGCTCACCTGCCATTTCCTGTTTCTTTCTAGCTCTTCTCAGTCCGAGATACCTGAGACAGCAGTTCCCACTTCATTTAACATAATTACCACAACTAATTTTGGCAGGAAAGCTGGTAGAGGTACTGTTGTTAATATCCAAATGGCCCTTTGTTACTGGTTTTCGCAAAGCCCTCAATGAGAGATGTGGGCAGAAACTAAGTGATGCAATATAGCTGCTCCTTGTAAACTCTGGAGGCTTGATATTGGCCTCTAAGAAGATACTGATAAAGAAAAACATACAGGTGTGAGTGCTGAAGAGATTTAGAAGACATGCCAAATATGCAGCATTTGGGAGAGCGGCCTGAGCCTCTGCTCGTCTGTCCCATCTCTTTTCTGCGAACCTGTTTTCCTTCTCCATGTGCCTGCCCTTTGGGTCAGGTCTGCACCTGTGGGGCCTGCAGCAAAGAGTCCTGGTGCTTGAACCTTGCAGAGCCCCACTGGCTCCAGAGGACGGAGCTGGATTCTCGCCGCTTTCTTTGCCGTGGCAAAAGCATCTGCGGAATTGCAGGCACTGTCGTTATCACTGGTGACGGGTTGCACAGCAGGAAAGACACTGCCAGGCTTCAGAATCCCAGGCGGGTGACAGGCTGGTAATCGGAAAGGAACTTTTTTGAGTGTTTTCATAAAAACTGAGCCCATTTCTTAGGGGATCAGTGAAGACAGCTAAGGAGCCCTAGCAGTGCTTTTCCACTGCACCACCTTGCTGCCTGTTCTTTCCTTTATATTTTGTGTATGTGACTTTGTGTGTGTAGTTTATTTTTATAGGCTTTTACTGTCTGTCGGCAATATAGGGTTTTGCATACTAAATTATCATTTTAGAGGTAGAAGGAATTTCATCCCAGTGTATGTTTGTCTTTGCAGGGCACAGTGGGAGCCCAACTGTTGCTGATGTAGTGATATACATAATAAAAAAAAAATAATAGTGAACAAAAATGTCTAGTTAAATGTTATTTAACTAGAACTCATCTGTCAAATCTAAACTGTCTAATGGACATAACTGGAACGGTTTTTGGTGTTGTTGCAACAGTTAATGCCTTAAAGTGGTATTCAACTAAATTGTGGGGAAGGAGGAATCAACCAGCCAACTTACAAAAACCAATTGTAGAGCTTTCTTTATTTGTCTCATTTTAGGGAAGCTTAAACACCTAGTGGAAATCACCGTTTTTGCTTTATTCTTTGAAATGCTTCATAAGAAGATGTCTTTAAACACATCCACTTTAAAATAACAGAATAATTTTGCTGCTTTATTGTGTACATGTGATATATGCTATGGCATGTGCTTTTGTGAACTTTTGCAATAATTTTAAAACAGATATTTACCTTAGAACTTTCCATTTTATAGAACTTATAAATAGAATCTAAAAGTTTTTCTTTCTGAAAGAACAGTATTTGCTGTTAAATTTCTGCTTCATTGAAAACTGAGAGAATAATCTTTTCTCCAAGCTGAAATTAAAACAAATGGTGAAAATCTAAATATCTCATGCATTGTAAATTCCATGTTTTAGGCAACCTAGTAGCTACCCCTCCCTGCCTACAAACTTTTCAGTCCTCCTAAGGATAATTTTATTAACAGCTTTTTTTATTGATGGGGTAGTTACTAAGGCATGGGAAATGGGATTGAGTTGTCCAGGCTAGTTTTAGAGGTATTCTCCATGCCAAGGAGAGCCCCGGACCCTGCAGTCTGTGGAGAGTAGACATTACAGGGTGACACTGTGCAGGCTAGTGAGGAAATCAGCTGAAGACTGCCTGGCTCCCACGTGAGCTATGTGTTCCAAGGCAAGACAAAGCCTGGAGATAAAGAGCAGATTTAAGAAGCGCTTAAACATTGATCTTTTGGGAAACTACTTCAAACACTGTTTTATAGTGCTCTAAGTCATCTAGAGCTCTCTTAACTTGTTTCGCTCCCTTCTCCTAAAATATTTATTTCTACAGCAAGAAAGATTCCCTCAGATAGGGCAAAATGACCCGTTGGGCTGAAAGTGTTTTTATCTGCGTGGTGCTAATGATTGATGCAAACTTCACGCATGCAGCACAGCTCTGTGATTTCTGCTGCTCTTTATCTTCTGTGACTTCAAGTCTGCCTGGCTCCGTAGGTCTGTTGCACATTGGATTTATTGTCTTACCAGCAACACTTTTATGTAACCCCCAAAAGCACTTGGGAATGCATACCTCCTGAGTGTTGCTGAATGCTCAAAATGTTCACTCTTAAATGAGGTCTGCAGTAAATACGTGCCAATACTCCAGATGCTTTGCTCTGATGTTGGTCATGGGCTTTCCATTAGGGAGGTTGGAGAAACTCCTTAAGTCTTCTGAGTGGCAAGGACTTACTGAGGCGAGTAACCTTCAGCTTAGAACTTGTTTGAGAGAGCATCACTCACCTGAGTGATGGATACAACCGCGCCTGCCTTCACTCTTGGGGGGGGAGGGTCCCACATCCAACCTTGTCTGGGTCCTGCAGAAGGGATTTTTTTGATGACAGTGTTTTTCTTCATTGCAACGGGAGCTTTTTTCTGCAGGAATATAGTAGTTTTAAGGAAGCCAGTGGGAGACTTTTTTTGGCCATGATGAATTTTCTGGTCAAAGTTAAAGTCTGAAAAATAAAAAAACAGCCTGATAACTGTGTGTGACTCAGTGAAGGGTTAAGCTGAGGCCCCTGTCACAGAGCCCCCAGCCAGCTGCCTCTTGGCTCTTGATTTAGAAGAGATTTAAAAATATTATTTCCCTGATTTTTAAATCTTAAAAAATCTGTGGTACGTGGCAAGTTTTCCTCCTGGGTATAGTTGAGAGTAGCATCCTCCTCAAGACTTAAGCAAATACAGTCCAGATGGCAAAGACACAACCTCCCATAGGGGCGCCTTGTTTTTATCTCCCCTTGCACCAGTACGGGCTCAGGAGATGTCTTTAACAGGCCCATTTGTTTTTTGTTCTTGGGCAGGTGTGAGACTGGATCTCTATATCTGAAGAAATATTTAGCTGTCAAAAATATTTAAAATTACTTCTTTCTCCTTTTTGAAAAATTTCCATTTCCCCTTTCAAAAATAAATAAGTTGCATACTTATTTCTTGTATTGCATTTCTCCACAGTCGCTTAAATGTCCCTTGTAAGCAGCCTTTTGCTCACAAGTATTTGAAGAAGCGTCAGTGATTTGGACACTGACCATGGTACACTCCTGGCCCATCAAAGGGGACGCAAGAGTGAGCCCAAAGGAAGGCATTGGTAATAGCAGATGAGCAGCAAGGCATTATCTTTATTCTCAGTTCTCTCTGTTTTTTTGTTTTTTGTTTTTTGCTTAGTATTTCAGTCTAAATCCTTAGAGATGGGATCTGGGAGAACATATATCCTCCGCAATATTTCCAGATACCCAGAACAAACAGTGGCTCTTGACATGCAGACAAGGGCATTGCTCTGGCTGTGTTTCCAGCTTACTGGGACACAAATTCCTGAGTTTTCCTGCACAATTTTTCAAGCCCATTTGCTGTGGGCTGTTTTATAAGCTGCAGCTCTCCATTGTCAGTGAAGGTGAAAGCCTTCCCTTTCAGCAGGGAGTTTTCTAGATCTGTGTTGTTGCTGGGAGCTGGCATTGCTGATGCCTGTTGTTTTCTATCGTTAAACTGACTGTAATGCGTGACCATTGTGTATCACTCAGTGTTGCCTAATTTAGGAGATCAGTGATTAATTCCTTCTATTGCTTTTTCCTTCTCTTTCACTCTCACTGCAGGATGTTTTCACACCCGAGTGCAAATTTAAGGAATCTGTCTTTGAAAACTACTACGTTATTTATTCTTCCACGCTGTACCGGCAGCAAGAATCCGGACGAGCGTGGTTCCTGGGACTCAATAAAGAAGGTCAAATTATGAAGGGAAACCGGGTGAAGAAAACCAAACCCTCATCACATTTTGTACCCAAACCCATTGAAGGTATGGCAGCTGCTCTCCCCAGCCATCAGTGGGATGTGGGGAGGGATGAGTTTGCAACTGCAGCCTGGGGGGGGG